GTAAATGTAAATTAGATCCTATTAGTTGATAGTATTATTGTTCAGTTGTTCTATATTCTTGTTGACTTTTTGTTCTACTTCTGTGGATTAATAAAAGAGGAGTATTGGTATTTCTAAGTGTAATTGGAGATTTACCCATTTTTCTTTTCAATTCTATTGGTTTTTACTTTATGAATTGGAAGGTATGTATAATTTTAGGCATATACACATTAGGATGTTATATTTTCCTTATTATTATGGAATGTGTTTCTTTATGCTTGAAAAATTTTCTTTGTTCTAAAGTCCATGGTTTCTGATACTAATAACCATGTTAACTTTCTGCAATTAGTGCTTACATGGTAAATCTTTTTAATTTTAACCACTTCTGTGATGATATTTAAAGTAAATTCCTGATGCGTAGCATGTAATTTTTTTCTTTAAATCTGTTACCATATTCTCTGTATTTAAAGTGGAATATTTATTCCATTTCCGCCTAACGTACCAGTGTGTGTGATTAGGCCTACCATTTTCTTACTTGTTTTCTGTTTTTCCTTCTTCTGTTTCTCTGTTCAGACCTCTTTCAGATTATTTTAGCATTCCATTTAAATTGTTCTGGCAAACATTTGCATTTATCTTTTTGTATCATTTATTTAAAAACTTAAATTTTAGTGACTGCTTTAAAGATTACAAAAGATGAGTGTAAGCATACATACATACACACACTTAACTTTTTATTTCACCACAAGGAATATGTGAAAATGTTACTACTGCCCACCTCCAATATGTATTATCCCCGTAGACTACATTGTAGTTTTGTTTTTGACAGTTACATGTGTTTTAAAGAATTTTGGGCTTTTTATTTGAATTGCTTCTCTGGGTAGCTGCCCAGGTATTTACTATTTGTTTTTTTTTCTTTCTTTCATTTCTAAAGTTCCATGGTTCCTTTTGTTATACTTCTGGTCAGTCTAAAGAACTTTTTTTTTTTTTTTTTGATACTGGTGATCAAACTCGTGACCTCGCACTTGCCAGGCAGGTGCTTATGCTGCTGAGCTAAGTCCCTGGCCCTGAAGAACTTATTTATCATTGCTCTTTATTTTAAATTAAATGTGATATGTGCAGAAAAACGATGGACTCCAAAAATTTAAAAAAGCACTTTATTAGCTGAGCTCAGTGGCAACACTGTCCCAGAAAGAAGCCAGGTTAAGTGCCCACTGAGCCAGGGGCTGCAGGGAGTTATAAAGTAGCAAGCCCCAAGGTCAGGGTCTTAGGACCAGTTTGTCTCCATAAAAGGTAATTTGGTTTAGTTTTACAGGAACCAGGGAGGTAGGGAGGGGGTCATATGGGGGGTATGTTACAAGGTTGCAACTTAACTGGCAATTTCACAAGTTTTACAGGAAGAGAAAAATAAGTATAGCACATTTTGGATTTTTGAGTTTATAACGAAATCAGTTGATTTTTTTTTTTTTTTTTGAGACAAGATTTTGCTGTGTAGTTCAGGCTGGACTTTAACTCATTGTGTAGCCCAGGCTAGCCATGAATTTGTGATCCTGCAGCCTCAGCCATCTGACTGCTGGGATCACAGGCATGTGCCACAATATCCAGCTAATTTCTTTTTATAACAGATTTATTGCTGATGAATCCATTTTTCTTTGTGTTATATTTGAATTTTTTCCTACTTTAAAATGAAGAAAGAATAAAAATAATACAGAATTTCAAAACAAAATAATAGGTTAACAATGGTTAATATATTGTGTATTGTTATCTTCAAAGTAATTGCTCAGATTACAAGACAGAGTTATAAAAAAATGATCAAACAGTGAAAACACACAAAAAAAGTCTTCATTTTGTCTTTATTCTTCAAGGGTAGTTTTAGTGGATATAAAATTGAGGCATAACAGATTTTTGTCAGCGTTTTAAAAATGCTGTTCCACTGCCTCTGGCTTTTGTGGTTTTGATGAGAAGTCTGCTGTCATTTGAATCATTGTTCCTTTCCCTGTACGTAGTCTGTCATTTTTTTTAGGCTGCTTTTGAGAGTTGCTTTTACTCTTCTTGGCTTATCCAGTTTGGTAATTGATAAGCTGCTTCTGTATGTCTTACATTTTTTTCTAAAATTAGAACATTTTAAATTATTATTTCTTCAAATATTTTTTCTGTATCACATTCCTGTTTTTATTTGTCTTCTATTTTTTCAGGGACTTTAATGAATGTTGAACTTTTGGGTATTGTCTTAGAAGCTATGTTAAGTTTTTCAAATTTTCTTTTCCTTTATTTTTGTATTGAATGACTTGTTGATCTATCTAAGTTCATATTCATTTTTTGAGACCATCCGCTCAATTGGTTTTTTAGTATTGCATTTTTCAGTTTTAAAATTTCTATTTGGTTCTCTTTTATGCTTTCTGTTTTGCTATTGAGAATTTTTATCTTTCATTCATTTTAAGACCATATATCCTAATGTCTTGGAACATGACTTTACATATTATGAATATCAGTCCCTTGACTATAAAGAATTTTATATTTTGATATAGTCAAATGCATTTATTTCCTTCTCCAAAACCCTGTGAGATTGATTTTATTATCTGTGTGATAGAGATGAAGAAACTGAGGCTCAGAGAGGTAGTGTGGCCAGGGTTGCAGCATGAAAAAATTAAGATTGACCTTGATATTGTCTCCAAAGTCCTGGTGATTCTGCATTTACTTTGAGAAGTGAGCTTGGGTAGTGATTTTGAGAATGGAAAGGGAACAGCAGATGCATGGCTATAGTGTGGGCAGACATGCTGGATTTAGTAAAGCATCATCAGCACTTGTCACAATTTCAGACAGTTTTAAAAAAGATTTCTCTCGTCTTTTATTAAATTCTTTTGATTTTGCCTGTACTCCTGCACTTGAGAGGTTGAGGCAAGAGGACTGCTGTGAGTTCGATGTCAACCTGGGCTATAAAGTGAGTTCAAAACCAGCCTGAACAACATAGCAAAACTCTGTCTCAACAAACAAACAAACAAACAAACATTTCAAAAGATAAAAAAGAATATATAGCATAGTTCCCATACATCATTCTGTCAAGCCAATAAATATACATTCAAGCTCAGCCCCCATTTTGGAAGTATGCGATGAATTATTATTATTTTTTTTTTGTATTGAGGATTGAACTTAAAACTGTGTGCTTGCAAGGCAGGCACTTATGCCACTGAGCTAAATCCCCAGCCCAAATGAATTAGTTTTTGAGTCACAGTTTGGTCCAAGGTCACTAAAACTGTTTTAATTAGAACGTTATACCTTTTGTTCACTTTCGTGTTCTCCATTTACATACTCTCTCGCCTACCTTTTATTTAAATGATAATATACCATATAAGTAACAGTCTGTATCAGTGATGACAAACCTTTTAGAGCTTTCAGTGATAGCAAACAGCCAGCTGAGGCAAACATGCCATAGGTTTGCCACCAGTGGTGTATATCATGGTGTTATTTTGTTTTTTCAATTTTAAAGAGAAAAAAAAAAAAACAGTGATACAGAATTTCAAAACGAGATAATAGGAAATTAACAGTGGTTAATATATTACATATTGTTATCCTCAAAGTAGTTGTTCAGATTACAAGATATAAGCATGCATAATTGCTCAAACAATATAAGCACAAACCATTTTTTTAATGAACTAAAAGAAAGCAGTAATATAATGATCTTTGCTATTTTTCATATAAATACATATATAAAATATATGTTTTCTTTTCCCTTCCTTCTTTTTTGCTTTCACCCTTCTCAGTTGTTGCTTCCTTTTGAGCAGTTTCTTTCCCTTTCACAATATATATATATATATATATATTACAGATTTTGGATCTTACTTTTTCAATTTCTTACACTGTGGAGACAATATGATGTTAAATGCGAGTTTGATTTATTTCACTTATGAGTATGGTCTCTAATGGCATCCATTTACCTACAAAAGCCTCAAGTTCATCCTTCTTTGTAACAGACTAGTACAGCATTATATAAAAATAGCACATCTTTTTTATCCATTCCTCAGTTGATGGGCATTTAGGTTGTTTCCAAGATTTAGCCATTACAAATTGTGCTGCTATAAACATGGGTGCACATGTATCGCTGTGGTATATCATAGTGTTTTTATTTAACAATATTGTGGAGAAAATTTGCTATAGGAGTATACAAAGTGGTCTTTTTTTATTGGTTCTATAATATATCACCAAGTGGAGATAACCATAGATTAGTTGACTTTTAATAATTTAAATTAACCATAAAGTATAGGACTTTAAAAACCTTTTGAGGTATAGTATACCTACAGGAACACACACATATATGAACAGTTCAATGGATTGTCAAAAAAAAAAACAAACAAAAAAAACCAAAACAACCCTCACTCCTGTAACTATCATCATTGATAAGAAATGAAGCATCAGCATCAGTCTCCTCCTTCCTGGCTCCTCTCAAGTGCCACCTACTCTTTCTCTTCAAAGGTAACTGTCACCCTGGACTATTTTCAAGATTTCTAAATTTTAATGGTGCTTTCTCTTTTGTAATCAGTAAGTCCTCTGTGGGAGGATATCTTGAGACTGAATATATTGTTTTACAGTATATTCATCATCTGTTTAATGTTGATGATTCTTATGTTAATCAGTTATTACTATAGAGGTCAATTAATGATGATTTTCTGTTCCTTTAATTTTTTTACACTGATGAATTGAATTTTTTATGTAAAGGGATTCCTCTCTCCCTTCTCTTTTCTTCCTATGTCATTGGTGTGGAGTCATGAATTCTTTCTTTAGTCAAGCATCATTCACTCCTGTCATTATTCACTATCCTAAATTTGGCTGCTGGGAACCACTTAATTCTTCTGGGGGGTATAATTATAGCAAAGGTAAGTACTTTCTAGTAAAGATAAGCACTCCATAGTATTCAACATTCAAATCCATTTGGTAGCCTTGGAAACTATGGGATTAATGTGGGTACTATTTGTTGGAACCTCTGCCTTTTGTTTAATTTAGATAACCCTTCTGTGCTTATTTTTCAGCAAATCACTGAGCTGAAGAAAGAAAACTTTAACCTAAAGCTCCGCATCTATTTCCTTGAGGAAAGAATGCAACAGGAATTTGATGGCCCCACTGAACACATCTATAAAACTGTGAGTGGCCCACTTCACTCTGCTGTTTCTTTTCTTTCCTTGTAGTCGTTTCAAGCAGGTACTTGACTGATACTTGTTTTCAGAGTTAACTTGAAAAGGCAGAGGGTGCTCTCATTTAATTTGGATTGATTATGATGGGTATAAAGCTATTCAGCTGACCATTATATTAAGCAAGAGGCACATGATTAATGTTAAGGAATTCTTTTACCCTCTTTCTAACATCAGCATTCTGTTTCACTGTCTTTATCTCAATTGTCTGTTCATAATTATTTATTATTTAGAAATGGGCTATGGACTATTAGAATGGCTTTGGAATCGATCCTGGTAACCAACTAACTGGGGTAACTTTAGGCAAGTCGCTTCAGCTCTCTGGGCTTGCCCCACACTTGAGTGATAATCTCTGTGTCACAGGGTCATTTGTGTGGATTAAAATGGGATGACAGCTGAAAAGCTCCACACACAGTCAGTGCTTGACAGTTACCGTCACTGTCTTAGGGAGGATTCCTTTGGCTGCCCAGAGTTCGGATTGTCAGTTTTTCTGTGGTTTGACTTTTCTGTATTCTTTTGTGCTTGCCTAGAACTGTCAAAAAAAGAGCCCATTTTTATTTGAAGTCTTGACCTGGAGGTCTTTGTCTGAAAACAACCCTTGGTTCTGAAAGTTCAAAAAAGAACTTGGCTTTCTTGAAAAGACATGAATACAAACAATATTTTGGTGCCCATTTCTTAGCTCTTTCTGGTAGATTAGCCCTTGGCCTGGGAATAATTCTGTCTTTTGTCCTCTGAAATTTGTACCAGTGGAAATTTTTGAAGAGAGAAAAAGAGCTCTCCTTGAGTTTCAGCAGAGGAGTTTAAATGGACTTTTCTTGAAGAGGGATTGTTCTGTCCTGAGCCTTTTCAAGAATTGAAAAGCTCCCTTGTTCCTGAAGGCACAGTTTTTTCGATGTGTGTATGTGTGTGTGGGGAGTGTAGAAAGGCAATGAGGATGTTTCCTTTTTTGGAAGGGGGTGGTGGTGAAATCAGAATTGCAGAGGAAATTGCAGTGGTCTAAGGCATTTTATGTGTAAATTACATGGTCATGGTCTCTGAACTTCTGGGCTAAAGCATGTCGATTGCCCACGGTGTCAAGCACCATCTTGGATGTTTGTGTTTGTCATTTTGTAATTCTTGGGACACTCTGTGCAGTGGAGATTATCCTCCTATTACAGAGAGAAAACTGAGGCTCAGGAAGAAAATGAAGCTTAGGAAGATCAGTAACTTAACTGATGTCAGATAACCACTGTATGAGGTGGATTTTGAGCCCAGATCTGCCGATCTTTTGGTACTATGCTGCTTCAGTTATTCTTTCCCATTATCTGACTAGGTGGGCAGATTTAATTACCCTTTTCCCCTTTTCAATTAGGTTTTAAAAAACAGACTGTACAATGAAAAGATGTTCTCCCACTCTTGGATCCTAGATCTAACCAATATTATTCCTTATACAGAGGACTTTTATGTCTATAGAAAGAGGTATCTGATGAATGGGATATTAGCCTTGAGCAAAGCAGTCTAATGAATATGTTCGTTTTCTATTCTTTTTAAATTTGGTAGGCTGAGGTGCCAGTTGATTTGTCGGAAGACAGAGCTCTTAGAATATACTGTATCAACTCCAAAGTTGAAGCTCTCTGCCCTTGTGAGAGTTGGAAAAGGAATCTTCTGTTTTAGGGCATTTCTACAGCTTTCACAGAGCATTGCTGAAGCCATTTTATACTGCCGCTCAGTATCCTTTATGCAAAGGTCACTTGTTCCTCATATCAGACTTCTTTAGTTCTTGTGTGACAGTAAAAAAAATAATCAAGGCTTTTGTCATTTGCTGGCTTAGTTATGTTCTCAAATCTCCTGTGTTGTGTGGGCCTTTTCACTTGATTTTTAGGGGTGTCCAAAAGGAATAGCATTGGCTTTCCTACCTCCTGGATTTGTGCTTCTATGGACAGGTATAGTGTCATACCTCTAGATTTGTATTCCTTGGTAGTGCACAGGCTGGGCCTATGCCTGTCCTATTTATTCCACCATCTTCAGTGCGAGGTCTGTCACAGGTGCTTGGTAAGTGTAGAGGGAGGGAATGAATAAAAGAGTGTGCACTGACTTACTTTGATCTCTTTCTGGACTTGGAACCCATGAGATTCTGGTTCCGTGCTGTGACCTTTTCACTCTGGCTGTGGTTTTGACTTGTGATACTTGCTCTCCTAGGGCTGCTTGTGAGGAAGGAGGGAGGTATGGCCTTTGAGATGATAAATTTTATTGGCAATGTTGTTTTTATTTAAAATAATATACATGTTATAGTATAGAATGTAAAACCAACATGAAATTCTAAATAGGAGAGAGAATTGAGAGAAATCTCAGATTTACAGCATTCCTCTCCAAAAGTACACACCCAGAACACTGTCTCCACTGCATGAATCCACCTACTATTCCTTCTGGGATCCATTCCTGGGGAAGCGTCAGAAGCCTACTGTTGTTCCACTGTCTCACACAGCTTTCCATCTGCCAAAGATTCTGTCCTTGGATTCTCACATGAGTTATAAGCCCAGGGCCATGTGTGAATCCCTTTGTTCCGAGTTAAGAGAGAGACAGTTAGTTGGAGAACACCACAGTGTCCTATTCAGTTGTGGCTGTTTTTGTAAATGAGTGCCCTGAAATCTTATACTGGAATAAGACAGGCCATGCTGTGGCCTTCCACTTATCCATTATTATTTTTTTGTAAGTTGTAACGTGTTCCCACTGCTGCAGCCATCACATGCATGATTGTAAACAACCAGAAGTAATTGCCTTGGAATGGTAAAAGCAAAGAGTAAATTTACTTGGTGGAGGGCAAAGAACTTTTAAATCAGCCTCACTCGTGTGACATTTATGCTTTGATATTTGAATGCTTTGGCTGTTAGGAGCTTAGAACATGTACATAGTTGTTCCAAGTCTTGAGAAATCCAGAGCTTTCTTTTGAGACCACCAGTGTTTAATAATTCCCTTTTGCCTGTGCCTTGGGGCAAATGAGGGTTTTGAATCTAACATCTGCTATTACAAGCACTATAGGGATTGTAAGTCTTGTGTCTTACACTGTTTCTTTTCTTTCCTTATCTTGTGTGGAAGAACATTGAGCTCAAGGTGGAAGTAGAAAGTCTGAAGAGGGAGCTCCATGAGAAAGAGCAGCTGCTTATCAAAGCCTCGTGAGTACCTGTCATCTTGTCAAAAACTTGGAAGTCTCCAGGGCTTCTTGTGGTAGCTACTAGGCTGATCACTAACACAGAACCACTGCATTTCTAAGCCATTTGTTCTCTAGCTGGCCTTCAAGGACCCTCCAGGAGGTTGTACTTTTTATTTAATTACTTATTTTGCAACCACCTTTTAAAGTCTGACACATGGAAGGTGAAGAGATCCTAAGTGTACAGTGTGATGGATTTTCATGAACCATACATGCCGTGGAGTCATCTGGGTCAGGAAGTGGAGCATTACCAGCCCTTAGAACCCCACTCTGCTTTCAAGAACTTAGCCTTTTCCCCTGTAATGATCATTGCTCTGATCACTGTTACTGTGATTGCTTAGTTCTGTTTTCAAATTTTATATAAGTGAAATTGTAAAATATGTACTCTTTTGTGTCTAGCTCCTTTCCTTGGTAAACCATTACTGAGAATGGGAATCGACATTCATTTTCCTTGCTGTAAAAGTCAAGTATATCTGAGGAGGTACAGGAAGGTGAGGCAGGGGATTAGGAGTGGCTCCCATCAGAGTTAACTGATGTTAATATCTGTTACAGATACTGGAGTTCCTTGTAATGGTTTGTTTGAAAGGGGTTCTGTTACTTAAAAAAATTTGAAAACGAGCATTTTCATTAATTCATGTAATCAAGCAGTCTTTGAATAACAAGCATAGTTTAAAGAATGCAGCCTATAAATCAGTTGGTTCTTCATTCATTCATTACTAGTTATCGTGTAATTACCTATGTGCCACACACTGAGAATCTGAAGTCACTGCCTTCTTCCCAGAGACTAGTGAGAAGTATGTCACAGCTGGAGATGAGTGGCATGTAATGGAGGGGCAGTGACAGAGGGCATTTATGGGAAAAGTGAGGACACTCCGATGTGCTCAGTTTTGCTCAGTTTCCCATTACATGTGGAAACCTCAATTCCCATGGGGTTCTGTACATGCCTTGATGCTGAGACAGGGATGGAGTGTTTGTGGCCTTGTGTGCGAGTTTGTATGCGTCCACCTGGCTGGTGAAGGCCCTTTGTGATCTGATCAGATTTATTAACTTCAGGAGATATTTATTAAGCAGCATGAGAGCATTCCTCTGCCCAGGGCTGTCTGCAAGCTTATGTGGAAATGCTTCACTTGTCCGAGTGGGCAGCAGAGCTCCTGCTGGGTGTGGAGGGCCAGGAGCATGCAGTCTGGCTTAGGGCACAGCAGCCCTGCTCTAGACCAGGCCAGGATAATTCTTTTCATTGCCACAGGTCCAGCAGCTGGAAGTTGGCCTGTGTTGGCTTTGAGCAGATTAGAAGCCCAGGCTTGTCTTCTGAATTATGCTGAACTTGGACACATGGTATTTTCTGAATGAGCAGATGAATTAATAAATACAACCAGATTAACAGGCTTTTTTTTTTTTTTTTTTTTTTGGGTGGTTTTTGTTATTTTTTGGAAGCACATCACTCTCTGGGCAGTAAAACGAATCAGCTTTACCAGACCTAAAGATCAGTAATAGAATTTGATCTGTTTCATACTAATTTCCATGCCTGCTGCAGGTCTTGGCTGGGATTTGATTTCAGCTAGGCATTTATATGTGGAAACCCTAACTCACAAGGGCTTGTGTGCATGCCTTAGTGTCAACACGCAAGATGGCCTTGAGGGCCTGTGTGTAAGTTTGTATGTGCCTGGCCTGCTGTTGAAAGCCCTTTGTGATCTGACCAGGTTTATTAAGTTATTCAGGAAATATTTATTACATAGCTACTGTGTGTTCCATGGGACAAGGTTGCTGGGGATACGTGGAGGTTACCTACATTCCAGTGGTGGTGATGATGATAAAATATCTGCAGTAATAAACGTATGCATAGAAATTGAGAGAAGTATAAAGAGAAAAATAAAGGAAGCATGTGAGTTTACAGCTGTGGCAAGGAAAAGTGTCCTTGAAATCTGAGTCATAAGTAGGGATTAAGCAGGTAAATGGATGAGGTCTTCAAGGAGAAAGGAACATCTGAGGAAATGCGAGAAGACTAGAACATTAACAATGTGGTCTTTATCCTGAGATCAAATAAGCAAGTGTCACTACGAAGAAGTTTCCTTGTTTCGTTATTGCTATTCAGACCATTGGCTGGTGGGGAGCAGGTGGCAGAGGGAGCTGAGTGGAGCCTGGGAGATGCGTTAGGAAGCCAGTCCAGGCGGTGAGGCGAGAGCTAGGTGTTGGACTCAGTAAGTGGTGGGTAGGGAAGAACTATGGGGAGCAGAATCAGCAGCTCTTGGTTTTGGACAAGGAGAGGGATGTCAAGGACAACTCCTGTCTGGGGTTAAGATGAGGAGCTCTGTTTAAGAGTGATTCACAGTGACTTTACTTCTTCAGTGTCCTCTCCACACTAAACACCTCTTTGTTTAAAGCACAGCTCAGAGATGCTGTGACTTTTCTCCTTGCTGCTGCTCTGACTTTGCCCTGGCAGATCTCTTCCCTCTTGGCAACCCGCCCCTCCCAGTGCCCTCCCACCACCTTCATAACGATTCAAAGGTGGCTCACACACAGCTCCCCCACTCCACATCAGCCTCTTCACAGCCTTCGCTGGCATACAGTGACCATCCCTTCTGTAGTACTTTTCCGTTTATAAAGCACTTCACATCTATTAATGTTGCATCCTTATCCTGGGAACTGTGCAAATGTCACGGAATCCCTTCATTGTATAGGGGAGGAATGTGGGTCTGGGGAAGGGAAGAGCCATGAGTCCCAGCCAAAATGTCAAAATTGTGACTAGAACATGACGTCAGATGTCAGGTCCAGCACTAAGTTTCATGTTCTGTTTTTCAATTTTCATGTGTAGATGTAGCTTATGAACAGTACCTCTGTAGGGTTGTTCAATGACAGGGTCTACCCTGTGACTGCTGAGTGTGCTTTTCTCTTTGTCCGTGACTACCCAGCATCCACAGTGTGTCTGTAGTTGATACTGTTGATGGGAAAACATTTTTATTCATGTGCTGCCTCTGGCTCTCTTTTTCAGTGTTGCAGTTTTGGTTGTGTATGTGGGGACATATGGGTTGAAATGGGATCTTTCATAAGAAAAACTCCAGTTTTTCCTTAGAGAACTATAATTACGGTGGAAAGAATTGGAGGAAATGTTGAAGTAATGAGTATAGTGTTTGTAGAATGTTCTTTCTTTGTGTTGAGTGGAAAGCTGGATTAGATGAATTTCCCCTTACCTCTTAATATTGTCTCTTGGCCCATATTCTACACGAAAAGAAAGGGTAAGGTGGGCATGGTGGCGTATGCTTGTAATCCCAGCAGTTGGCTCAGGCAGGAGAATTGTTGCAAGTTCAGCCTGAGCTACACAGTGAGTTCACTGCCAGCCTAAATTACATACCAAGACCCTGTCTCAAAAAGCAAACAGGCAGAAAGGCCGGTAGATGGAACTACCAGTGGTGAAGATCCACTTAGTCCCATGCTTAGCACCTGTGTCTGGAACATACTTTATTGAGTTTGATCTTTACAGTTATGTGAGGCAATCTATATTCTCATTTGCATGCAGAGAAAACTGAGGCCCAGAGGAGGAGGTGAACTTGCCTGAGCTAGTAATCAAGATGAGTCTGATTAGTTGCAGAATCCATTCTGCCTTACCATGAAGCAAACATATTTGTTTGTTGGTTTGCTGTTATTATACTTATCAGTTACAGTAAGGGTACATTAAAAAGAAAAGCAGTCATATTGTTGAGAGTAAATTTTATCTCTGCAGCTTTAAAACATAAACAGAAAAATAATAATTCCATTAGCAGAGGAAAATTGTACCATACTGCTGAGTATAAATTTTATTGCTACAGTAACTGAAAAATACAAGGATGATAAATGAAAAGTTGGAACATTTATTATTGAGAATATATTTTATTGGTATAACTAAAACACAAACAAATGGAATAATACCAGTGGTTGTTAAAAATTGTAGTCAGCCTCTTGACAGAAGATGTGATTCAGCCTGTAAAACGCCACGGTTCCATCTGGCTGATGGGAATAGGACCCTGCACTCTGGCCGGTTGGGTGCGGGTAGGAGTCACAGAAGAGAGCTGTTTTATGAGGGGGATCCAGAAAGCCCCAGTGCTAAGTCATTTGTAAATGTGTAGTGAAGATTCAGGAGTACAACAGTCCAGTTACGTACAGCTCAGACAGGAGGGCTGTCTGGTTTAGAATTCTTTTGGATATCTGTGATGCTCCTTGAGTGACAGAAACGATTATGAGTCACCGTGTGTCTGCGAAAGCACTGATCCAGAGTGAGCCAAGGGAGTGGGGGCTGAAGACACTTAATGGCATTAATCAGGAAGTGAGCACAGTGGCCTTGGTTCCGGCCAGGAGATCTGTTTTCAGCAGAGACCCCAGCAGAGGGGTGGCAGGAGGCCTCTCACAGCAACTCTGTGGGATCCAGAGCCGCCTACCCTCAGAGGAAGGGCCAAGCGTGCAGAGCGCTCAGCTTCGGCAGGAGGAGGCCCCCTGCGTGTTAGCACATTAATGCTAAGCGATAATCATCTCATTTTTCACATGAGGAAACTGAGGTATAACAGGTGACTTACTGAGGCTGGGTAATTTACCCAGAGACACACTGGGGATAGAACAGAGCAGGAATTTGGAAGCAGAGTTCTCTGGTGTCAGGCTTGTGTTCTTCCTTCCTTTCATTGTTCATGGCGAATTCCCTTAGTGTGGTATGAAACTGGGACCTTTTGAAGCTTTCCTAATAAAAGGAGAAATGGATGTGAGTAAAGTATTTGTGGGTAACTCCTGTTTGAGACTTGGGTGGCACGTGTGGCCCTCTTGATTTTCCATTGTTTTTAGTCACATTCAGGCCACATTCACACAGGAAGGTCTGGTCACACAGCTCTTAGAGAAATTTTATATACTCCTAAAGTAGGGCACCGGAGGCTTGCAGTGAAGAGATTTTTTTTTTTTTTTTTTTTTTTCTCGTGCAGTTTTTCTGAGAAACTAGCTTTAGGTGGAGCCATTTCCTCTATTATCCTGCTTTCTGGGAACCTGCAGTCATTTAGCAGTCTGATGAGGACCGCTTAGCGTGTTGAGCCTTACATCCAGCAGTGTTTTACTTTTGGCATAGTGAGTGTGGTCCTGTGTGTTGGTGTGCCATCTCTAGCACTGATTGTCATGCAGAGACAATATTCCAGGTGCTGCAGCAGTGTGTGCTGTACATTTTATGTTGCAGGAGCGGAGTGTAGAACGCTTGCATAATCTCCCTTCTCCATGCTCTGAGTGGTAGCTTGTGCTCGCAGATTGATTGTGCTGTCATTAAAATGCTTTTCCCTCCAGTTGGTACAAAATAAAGCATACAAACCCTTAATCTCGCAAATTTATTTTTTTGCATATTGTTTCTTTGCACGTTAGTTTGTCAAACCACTGTTCCTACCCCACTGGTGCATGTGTGCTTTATTGTAAGCTGCCTAGTGGGAAATTTGGCTCCAGGTGAATTATGTTTTCCCTGTCACACATTGATTCCTGTTCTAGGAAATTATCCTAAGGAAGTCACTAGATAGAAGACATACAAGGATGATTTCATCATAGCATTGCTTATTATATTAAACGATGACACTAATGTTTATTGAATGCTTACTTTGTACCAGGCACTGTTCTCAGATCTTTATGAGTTTTATCACAAATGTGTTAAATCAGAAACAATTTAAAATATAAGGAATTGATTTAATATATCACAGTGTATTTCACACAGTGAATTAATATGTAATCTTTGAAATGATGTTATAGATTATTGATACAAAAGGATGCTTATAGTGTATTAAGTAATAAAATCAGTTCACTGACATGTACTAAATGGTTTTAATTTTGTGGAAAATGTCTGAAAGGTTGTATACTAAAATATTGACTTGGTTTCCTAAGTGACAAGATTATGCACAATTCTTATCTGTTTATTATGTTTTAAATTATATAAGCTTAATTTTTAAAAAACTTGGCTCAGGAAAGTGGGAGAAATGACTGACAAATATCCTCTGGTGAATGTGAGGGCTGTCTGGGTGTGACATTGTCACCTTATTGATTGCCAGGGTTGATTTGGCTGACTTGCTGGCTGAGTGTTCCTTTCCTCCTTCACCCCTCCATGTGCATCCCTTCTGAGGCTGTGAGCTCAGTTAAGGAGAATGAGCACCCAATAGAGGAGGGCTGTGTCCCCCAGCTAGAACCCCCAGACAAGGTCTCAAGATACCAATATCCCCTGTGTCCTTGGGCCTGTGAGACTGTCGTCTTCACACATTTTGCCCTTTTCCTCTTTCTGCAGCAAAGCTGTTGAGAGCCTGGCTGAAGGGGGCGGCTCTGAGCTTCAGCAGGTGAAAGAAGACGCTCGGAAGAGGGTGCAGCAGGTGGAAGAGCGCCTGACCGAAAGGATCCTCATCCTGGAAGGGGCAAGTCTGGAAATCCCAAGGGCACCGTGCTGCTTCCGGCGGGTTAAGAACCGAGTGGAGACAGTCTTATTCCTTTTTTTATACACTGTTACAGCAGGAACAGCGGTCCCCTCTCCCTTCTGAAGCATCTCTGGGCTCCAGCCCCGGTTTGGGCACTTTGTATGTGTAATTTATAATCCTCACTCACACCTGCAAGCCGACCACTGTTGTCTTCATGCCCATTTGAGGGCACTGAGTCAGGGAGAGAAGTACGAACAGGGCCCCATTTAATCTCGGTTTTAAAGCCGTGACTGCTGTTTTAAAGCCTGTACTCTTTCTGTAACACCAACTGCTATCTAGTTTGGTTTCTTTATTTTGAAGACGAGGAAGTGGAGGCCTAGAGAAGAGGGAGGACTTAACAGAATGTTGGCCAGCCTTGGAGGCTGCCCTTCCTGTTGGCTTTGAGCCACTGCTTGGCCATCCAGGTTCTGTCTGCGTACCCACTTTCCATCCAGCCACATTGCCCATGATCATCGAATGACTTTTCTGTCAGGCCTTGTATGTAACTGCTTCTCCTTGTTCTTAGGAGTTTCCTGTGATTATGGTAGGAATCAGGTTGTTTCCTGGATGTTATACAGTTTTTTTTCCCCCATTTTTTAAGCTAGCATTCATTAATGCAGGTTGAATAGTCCTTATCTGAAATGCGTGAGACCAGTAGTATTTTAGATTTGGAGTTTTTGGATTTTGGAATATTTGCATACATGTGATAAGACATTTTGGGGAGGGAACCCAAGCCTAAACATGAAATTCGTTTGTGTTTCATATGTATACTATATACATAGTCCAAAGATGTTTTTATATTTATGTAGTGTGCCTAGTTTGACTGAATCTTGTTGTCTGAGGTCTCATCGAATTTTGTACTTGTAATTTCATACTGGTGCTTAAAAATTTGGAATTTTGGAGCACCTTAGAGGTTGGATATTTTGGATTAAGAATGCTCATCCTGTATGGATTATTTAATTTTTGGTCTTTCAAGTTGTTTCATCTAAAATTTTCTACTTGAAACATTGGTTCTTTTTAGTATATACAAAGCCTAATGACACCAAAAAGCACTTTGGAAATAAAAACACAGGTACAGTGTTTTTCAGCTTACACTTTTCCTTTCATGCTGTGCATGTCAGGCCTTGTCTCCTCCCCTTGGGGGCATTTAGCTCTTAGGACCAAAGTAGAGTTGAGGAAACTGAGGCTCAGAAAGAGCTGAGGAATGATCTAAGTCGAAAGTGGGAGAAGTAGAACCAGAAGCAGGGGCTCCTGGAGTTTAATAGATGGAACCTGTTGACTCAGGCACCCAGTTTTGTCAGGAAATGCTCCTGATGCTTGGGGTTCCTGGTCTCAGCTCTGTCCCTTGCTGTCTTTATCAGCTTGGGCGAGGCATGTGCCTTGCCTGAGTCTCTGCTTTCTCGCTTGTGAAGTAAGGGTGGTGCCTCTGCTCTGCAGCGGTCATTGTAATAAGGGGCAGTCCGGCAGTCTGGCGTGGGCTTACCCGTCGGGGAGGCACCTCCCAGACCCTTTCGGTACCTAGACTTTATCAACCCTGTGAGTGGACTGATGAAGGAGATACTTCATCTCCCTTTCCTTTCTCTTTCTTTTTTCAATAGACCATGAGCTACTGTGTTCTCTCTTGCATGGTAGCGTGGCCTCATGCTGTAGGGCTACTTCTTTTCCTACTTTTCCATGCCCAAACTTGCTCTGCAGAGCCTGTTTCTTTTCCTACCTTTAATAAAACTTTGTTACCATTACAAAATAACTACTTGATGAAACAGGCACTAAATGGCTAAGTCCTTTGATCAAGGTCATATGGGCAGTAAATGTCAGGTGGCCTGGCTGGCCATCTGCATTCGGTGCTGTTGTACTGTCTCAGTATATAATGTTTAGGGTTGGGTGAGGATCGAATATGGTATAAAAAACCTTTTCCTCAGAACCTGGCGTTTAGTAGCACCCAGTAAATAACAGGCTTTCTTGTTTGCTGTCTGAGAGTATGGGAGATGTGTTTTTCCAGCCTTCATTAAGACTGACGGGTGAGCCTCTGGGGCAGATGTTGCCAGGGAGGCACCGCGCAGGGAAAGGGCAGTGAGAAAGAAGCCAGCAGTTTTGAGCTTCTTATGATGCAACAGGTTTTTGACAGAGTCTCAAGAAGCCCTTTGATGGAAAAATTGTTGTCCCTGTTTTATAGATTGGGCAGCTGAGCTTCAGCTGTGTCATGGGTAAGTCGGGGAGCTGGAATTTCAGCCTATTTTGATTTGACTTTATGTCTGTGATGCAGTCACAGGCAGTGGGTCTGAACTGTGGAGATTCGGACCCCCCCTCCCCCAGTCCCTTGCACAAGCACTGTGTTCTTTTCCCTGGACGCAGACACTGCCTATGTGGTTGAGGTAATTTTTTGGTGCTCAGCTCTCAGGAAGGACATAGAGTTTTTCGCCACTTAAATCTCTTGGAGGTATAGAAAATGTACGTGTATAGAATTGTGTAGTCACTATCTTAGGAAGAAATAGTGAGGGGGCAGTGGGGTGTGGGATGAATTCATATGGAGATTAAGGTGCCTCTTTGGAATTTATGTGTGTTTAGTATTGAGAGGGGCATTTTCTCCTTGTTCTCATTGAAGTCATAAATATTGATCTGATTTTTCAAAACCAAAAGTACAGTTTTTGTAGAGGTGAGTCTTTTCCATTGGAAATACCTATTACACTTCAGGATACAAGAGGGAAAAATGGCTGGCAAATGTATTTATTACTGATTCTTTCCATGTATAGTACAATTCAGGGAGGGGAAATATGCTGGAGAAAAAGTCATAAATATTTATATTTTAATCCAATTTCCTTTCAAAATGTTCCCAATTGTATTGAAAAATTGCATCAAATGCATTTAATTTAACTCTAGGATGTGAAAGCCGCTCAAGCAGAACTGGAAAAGGCCTTTGCAGGGGCAGAAACAGAGAAGGCTCTTCGGCTGAGCTTGGAAAGCAAGCTTTCAGAAATGAAGAAGATGCACATAGGCGACTTGGATGCAGCTCTGGTCTTGGAAGAGAAAGACAGGTCTGGCCCTGATCCCTGTGAAACCCTAACATCTCACTCTCGGCAGTATGGGGGAAGGATTGTTCCCTTTCCTTCCTTTCTCTTGTTCCCCACAGAACCTGAGTGACTTACTGGAACATGTCCAGTATAATAAAATAGAAAACTAGGGGTAAAATCCGGGTACAGAGGAGTAAGATGGTACTATGAGGACAGAGACAGAATTAGTGAATAGAAAGTCGTATTGAAAAGTTCTACTTAGATAAGCTTCCTGGTAGCCAAAGGGAAAAAGGAAAAACAATCTTGGTGGACACAAGATTTGCATAACTCATGAGGTGAGACAAGCCAGTAAATCAAGAGAAACCCAGTTTTATTTGGCACTGTCAGAAGGAAATTTCTCTGTGGTTCTTTCCAAAGGCAACATGAGTGGCCCATGTCTCCACAATAAATACTAGTGAATTTTGTTTGACTTGTTTTCCATTACATCTTTTTTTTTTTTTAAGTGCTAGTGTTGGAACTCAGGTCTTGTAAATCCTAGGTACATACCTTCCATTTAGCTGCATCCCCAGCCTTCCTTAAATTTTTAATCCTGACCAAAGGCATAAATTATTACAGTGCAAGGGCTCCAAAAACAAAACAGTATAGATCAAATATAGAATTGGTTGTTGCTGCAGAGTAAAATGTGTGCTGTTTGTTCAGAGAAATGGATGGAGGGTTTGGCCTTTAGGTGTCTTTATATTCATCGTATCTTATAGTCATGCTTTAGATACGAATAGATGAGATTTTATTCTTTATCATGAATCTTGCATTTGGTACTCTTGCTCTGGTTGGTGGTCACTAAACGGGAGATTGAGTTAATGAATTATAAGTAGACCACCAGCCGACCTAGCTACTGAAGAGCCAGACTTCTGTGGAATTTGATGGGAACTGCTCCAGAGTGAGCAATTCCCAGAGATTCTGACTGTGGGTCCTGTCCTTGGTCACTCAGTGCCCCGTGTAATGATGCTACAATCATGTTGTTTGTGCTCTTGTCCCCAAATGTTCTTCACTTTGGTACTTATCTCAGTGACACTTTTTAAGATTTGAGTTTGCCACTGATTTTGTTTATGGGTTGGGAAATCAGATGAGCAACCCTTTAAGGATTATCTGTGAAAGATGGTAAATAGGCCATGTGAGAAAGCCCATGGTCTCCATGTTTATTTAAGTGTCTTAACTTGAGCTTTGGAGAAGTCAGTATTCATTCGGTATGTTGCACCCTTAGCTTTGATCTAGAAAATGGAAATTTTGTGATTAGGGAAGTGAGTTACTTCTCTGTGGAGCTTGGTGGAGTGAATGAGCATTACCTCATTTTACTTATTTGAAACCTGTATTTTTCTTGGCTACAGTGCAAAGAAGAGAAAGCTCTATGGAGGGTACCTTTTTGCTGAGCCTTCCCCTCAGGGTGCTGACCTTTCCAAGCACCATCTGCAGAGTCAGGAGCCGTTAGACTGTGAGAAGTTCCACACAAATAACTATTACCTTTGTCCCGCCTGAGCAGCAGTGAAACCTTTAGAAAGCTTAGGGACTCATCTTCCTGGGGGAACTACAGGTTCCCAGCAGGTAAACTAGGGGCAGAGGGCCTAGGGAATGGAGTGGAATAGAATGTGTGGGGAGTCATCAAAGCGGAAAAGTCAAAATTCCTGGAGCCTGTGAAGGAGAAGGAAAGAGCCCTTGGAGGGAGCTTGCAAAGAAGTTCTGGGAGAGAAATAATTGGAAAGGTCCTGGGAGGGGCTCGACAGATGCCTGGCAGATGATTCATTGGTTCCACTGGATCCTTTATGTCCTTTATTCAACAAATATTTCCTGTGTGTCTTGCATTATACACAGCAGTGATAGTCCCTCCTTTTCACTGTGTAAATTGAAGCTTACCATTGATTTAGATGGAAAGGGTGGAAGACAGGAATAGAATGATGAGAGTGGATGGGAAAATGCTGGGTTAACATAATATTTATCAAAGTCAGTTTAGAGGGTTAGGAAGAGCTTCCCAAAGGAATGGAGCCCCCCTCCATGGGTTGCAAAACTCCCAGGGGATGCCTGAAACCCAATGGTGTTGAGCCTTGTGTATACTGTGTTTTTCATACATACCATTGATAAAGTTTAATTTATAAAGTAGGAGATTAACAACAATAATAAAATAGACTAACTATAATGATATTCTGTAACAAAAATATATGAATGTGATCTTTCTCTCAAAATCTGCACTGTATTCACCTTCTTGTGGTGATGCTGGTGTGGTGTCAGTGTGGTGACGTGAAGCGAAGTGGGTGACGCAGACTTTGTGATGTAGCTTTGGATCACTACATGCAGCTTACTTGAACACAAGCACTGCATTACAGGTGATCAGATCCCCGAGGTGACTACTGAGTGACTAAAGGTGGACAGTGCGTCCAGTGTGTGTGTGCTGGACAAAGGGCTGATCCAGGTGTCGGGAGTGGAGGTGGGGAATAGGAGATTTTCTCAGGATGGCTCACATTATAAAAGTATGAATTATTTGTCTGTTTTTCTGTTTAATATTTTTAGACCTTGGTGGATCACTGTCCACTTCCCACAGAATCAAAAGCATGGATAAGGGTGGGCTACCGTACTAGGGCAGGAGTAATTACTTGGACAAAGAAAGGAAAGGAAGGGTGCTCCAGGGACTAGGAGCAGTAAGTGTGGAAGGCCACGGCATAGGGAACATGGCGTGACCCAGGCAGGGAAGGGTGTGCTGGAGGGCCTGAGCTGTGTTCTGGGAGGAGGTGGGAAGAGGAGAGGAGAAAGACGTTGAGGAGGTCGTGAGGGCCTTGTGGAAAATTCGGGTTTTATTCCAAAGTCCTGTTAGAAACCTCTGAAAAGTTAAAGATGAGCCTTTGGGCATACAGGACCAGATTTAAATTTAAAGATATTTTTCTAGCCACCCCTGGTGGATGGGTGGTGTGGGAGCAGGATGGAAGACTGGTCTTAGGCTGATACAGAGATCCAGGACTGTGAGGGGGTAGAACTAGAAATGGAGGACAGGCAGAGAAGTGGTGGAGTGGCCACGGTGGGTTTGAAGGGCTTTCGGGCTGAGAAGAGGCTGCAGTGACACCTCCCCTCCCAGTCCATGTGTGAACCAGTGAGGGACACAGTGCAGCTTCTTACCTAACTGCTGAGCATGGCTTGGGCATGTGTGTGACTGCAGAGGTAACCGTAGTCTGCTTACATGAAGCTCCCAGTGAGGGAGAGGAGACGGAAGCATCCTATTAGATGCTGTGACAGAGGTAAGGCCAGGGCTCTGTGCCTGGATGTGGGGCAGAGAAAGCTCATCAGAAAAGCTGTGGGTATTGTCACATAGAGGGAATAGCATGTACAAGGGTACAGAGATTGGCACTTTTCATGGCAAGTTGAGGAAAGCTGTCCCCATCCATACGCGCTATCGAAGCTTGACCTCCCATCTCTTTTGATGATGGGGATTTGGGGAGTTATTTCCTATGTGTGGGTAGTGGGTTCTCTATGGATGTGGGTGCTCTGGTTAGGATGTTGCTGAAGACTGCAGTTGCCTGAGATTTCCTATAGGTCAGGGTAGATAGCGCAGAATGCTGGTTTTTCAGCCCTGAGAATGCGTCTGTCTCAGAGATGAAGGTTTCCAGCCACATTTGCAGTCAACACCTAGATGCCAACCAGATTTCAGCTCAGGGTGTGACCCCTATGCCCTTCCTGGAAGCTAACCTGCTCAGAAAGCTAAATGCAGATCTGAAGGACAGCTAAATGCAGATCATTGGAGCAGGTGGCTTGGTTATGTCCTGGTGAGATGGGGCCTGATCTGCCACACAGAGCAGGCACTGTTGGGCAGGGTAGACTGTCAGATTTTGAGGCCCCAGCCTCTTGCTTGGGTGAGGTGTCTATTTGGGCTTCCACTACCTTTCTCATTTTTTGGTACTGGGAATCAAACTTAGGACCTTGCGCTTGCCAGGCAGGTGCCGTGCCGCTGAGCTGCATCCCTGGCTCTCCAGCACCCTTTCTAAAGATATATATTTTAGCCAGCTTATTTCCTTCAATCTGGCTTTTGAGCTAATCTATAGCTTTGAGGCAGTCAATGTTGAGGAGCGTTACAGGTTGAGTATGGTCAACAGAATTATTTCTTTGGTCTGCACAGTATTTTTAAGTTTGACTTAATCACAGTGTTTAAAACATCAGATTTTTGTGTATAGCTCTGAATTTCCATTTCACTTGGAGACCTGGAGAAGCAGTAATGCTGGGTGCATCTTGCTGGATGGAGGCCGCCGCTCCTGCAGCTGGACTGGTGCTTCAGCTGGGCCTGGTCCCCAGTTGTCCTGCTCCAGTCTTTTCATTCCCTGTCTAAAACTTGCTTTATGGCAACTTAAAAAAAAAAATAAAAATCTTTGAGCTATAAATTACATATAATACAAGGCATCTATGTTAAGTCTACAGTTGGGGAACTTTTTACCTATCCAATTGATCATGTTATGATTTCAGAGCTGAACCCCTAGAGGGCAACATTACTCCTCCCTGTAGGTTTTTGGGAGCATCGCACAAGTGCTTAGCACCCTGATCCCGAAGCATTGCTAGGTGTTTCAGCTGCCTGTGTCTTCCCTCAATCTTCTGGGTGCTTCATGAGTGTAGCTCTGCTGGAATTCTAAGTCCTGCTCTTTCTGCCTTGCTGAGCTGCTTCTACAGAAAGGCCTCAGAAAGGGTCCGCTGACAAAATGCTAATTGTTGAACATTAAAAAAGTAATAATTATAGTAACTGTCGTTTGTTGAATTCTGCCACATGCCAGGAGCTGTGCAGGGTTGTTTAAAATAGCTTATCTCTAATTCATGTGAGCAAGTTACCCCATTTCAAGCTGAGGACATGTAGGTATAGAGAGGTTGGATAGCTTGCTATGGGCAGGGAGCAGTTGACTTGGGGAATTTCGTGGCCCAGAGAAGTATATGTTCAGGTCTCCTCAGTGTTCCAGGCAGCACTTCCCTGAGGGAAGATGTTTAATCACCTCAAAGGGAAGAATGGGTGTTTATCAGGTGGAGGTGGGTGGGCTTGGGGAGGGCACAGCATATCCAAGGGAGAGAGGCATCAAACAGCCTGGCTTTGGGGAGAGCTGGGAGTGAGGCTATGAAGTGGTGGTGGACAGGGTAATGGTCTCCTCTGAGATGAGTCAGAGACTATTACAGCCCAAAAAGTTAGAGCCTCAAATATCTTGGTTAGAATTTTGGCCTTTAGCTCGAAAGTCAATGTGTTTTTCAGCTTTGCTCTGAGAAACCGTAGAGAAGCATCCTTGTTTTTCCCAGTCACTAGAAGTGCTCTCAGTAGGCTGTGTTTGCTTAGGCATCAGTGGCAAATTTCTTTTGGAGAGAGGATTTCTTAAGAAAAAAAATTAGTTCTCCATTGCTGTGGGTGGGGGCAGTTTAAGGTCTTTGAGCAGAGGTGTGATATGACCAGACTCAGGTCTGGCAGCCCAGAGTTGGATCTGCAAGGCCTTGGCTGGAGGCAAGGGGCCGTGTTAATGCACACAGATTCTCCTTGGCCCTTGGTCTCTGACCTGCGAAATACGATTCTGTTTATGTTCAGTCATTGGGTAGGTGTGCTTTGAAGAAGCCTGGTCCCATTTTCTACCTCCTTCTGCTCCACTGAGCTAAGAGAACAGCTTAGAATTAATATTTAAATTTTGTTCTCTTTTAGACTGATTGAGGAGTTGAAGTTGTCTTTGAAGAGCAAAGACACTTTAATTCAGTGCCTTAAAGAGCAGAAATCTCAGATGGCATCTCCTGATGAGAATGTGTCATCTGGAGAGCACCGAAGACTTTCTGCTGCTTGGAGGGAAGAAAACGAGACAGACGCTGAGGTGAGGCGATGGGGCATGAAGGGGGGCGGCAGCAAATCAGTCTTCTCTATGGGAGAGGGAGCACCATTCAGTCCATAGTGCACACAGCTGCTTCCAAATATAAGTTCCTTGTTGCAGGGATCAGCAGAAACCACATTGGTCGGTGGCCTTGGCATACCCCCACCTCATGTTCCTGTAAAGAGTTAGTAAAAAAACAGGCCAGGTCTTGCTCACCTCCGCCTCACCCTGTGTCAGTGTCTATTTGCCTCCGGACTTTTTGTTCTTCCAGCCTTCTCGGGATGATAAGATTGTGGTGCGCAGCACTCATCCGGTTTACCTTTGTGGTTAGGGGCAGGCTGGAGGCCGACTGCAGTTGGGATCTTCAGAGGCAGTGAGAGAAGGGAACTAAGCCTATTGGCAGGTGATAGGCAGACTATTCATTCTCCAGCCATCTGGCAAGGTAGAGAGCTCAGTCCCCTGGTAGAGTTCAGAATTAGGCTCAGAGGAGTTGTTAAATTTTTCCAGCCTCCAAGAAGGTGGTTCCTAGTAGCTGTCCCCAAAGTATGCTGGATTCCCCACCCCCAGTAGCGTCCGTGGCAGGCTCTTTGGGAAGGGTGGACAAGTGGAGGAAGCACAGACCAAGGGTGGTTGCTGCATGTGCTCCCTCACCCTAGGGGCTGTTCTGGATGCTCAGGAGAGGTCTAGATTTCCCTGTGAAAGAGGTAAATTAGTTGTTTATCTGGAATTGGCTGTCCTCTTCCATCCCTCCCTTTAACCCTCCTTCCCCTTCCCTGGGCCCTGCCCTTCAGCACCTTGGTTTCTTATTGGTGGGGCTGGGGATCAACCAGTGTGGATTGCTTGTCTTCACATTTTTCTTCACTCAAATCTGGTGGGATTTTGGGTGGGACAGAGAGAAGGAGGGGTGTTTGTTTTAATGAGTTCCATAGCAGTGGGAAAAAACAAGGGAATGAAGTATTCAGTCTAATTGCCGTGGAGGAGCTGTTGGATTATGGGTGCCATCCTTTCTGGTCACCAATAAGTGACTTTTCTTAGGTTGCACAAATGGAGCGTCAGAAGGAGAAAAGAGAGTTTGAAGAGAAGATCCAGGTATGTTGATAATTTAAAAACATTTAGTGCGGTTTTATCCTATTCTTGCCTCTTACTTTATTTTGAGTGTAATCGACAGTTCTGTGTAGTGATAACTGCCATTTATAGAATGCAATGGGTGTGCCAGTCCCATTACGGCCTATTAGAGGCAGTTTCTAAATCCTTGCAATAACTCTATAACGTAGACATTCCCATTTTGCAGATGTAGACCTTGAGGCTCAGAAAGATGAAGTTACTCGCCCAAGAGCATGTGGCTGGGAAGAAGCTTAACAAAGGTTCAGACCTGCCAGTCTGATGCCAAGCCAGTGCTCCATGGGCCCCCATTACAACAGCGTTCGTACAGTGCCTGCCAGCTTAGAGAGCGCTCTCACATCCATTATCTCATTTGATCCTTACAACAGCCCAGGAGGGAGGCGGCAGTGATTATCTTCAGAAATGAACTCAGACTATAAATGTATAGTTCAGTCCCCATCAAACCAAATTCTCTGTTTGCTTTTGTAGCATTGAGGAATGAAATTAATGATGTGTTTTTTTCCCCCCAAATAACCTAGTGCAGATTCAAAGGCTCGGATGTGACTGTATTCAAATTTTAGAAGGCATTGGCGTCCTTCCCATAGGAATAGCTGTCATTGCCTCAACTGATCTCATCTCTCCCTTCACCCAGCCCTGTTGCCGTGAGCAGTAACACAGTAACTCAGAGCTGATGCCACTACATTCAGCTCCACTTGGAAACATTAATCACAGGTTGACAGGAATAAGATAGAATAACTGCGTCTGAGTGTGCTCTTAAAGATATATTTACAGTACATTTTGCTTGGAACGCATCAACTTAGTGAATCTTTTTCTAATCTAATTTAGGCACTTCAGGAGGACCTGAGAGAGAAGGAAAAAGAAATTGCTACAGAGAAGAAAAATAGTTTAAAGAGGGATAAAGCCATTCAGGGCCTAACCATGGCATTAAAATCAAAGGAAAAAGAGGTATGTGTGATATACTTGAAGTGGGATTTTTTTTTTTATTACTTTCTGTGGCTGGCCTGTCTTATCCTGAATTTTTAGCTGCAGATAAAAAGTTCATAAGAGAACTAAGATAGTATAGAAAGTAGGAGAAGGATCCTTTAGTCAACTGAGCAAATCCTTTTTGAGTGTCTAATCCAGCGCTGTCCAATGAAAACGTACTGTAAGTTAATCATATAATTTAACATTTTCTAGTGACCAGTTAAAATGTTAAAGAAACAAGTAAGATTAATTTCAATAATTTGTACCTTTCAGGCATTATCATGTAATCAATACAACAAAAGTAACAATGAAGTATTTAATGAATTATTTTTTTCAGTACTAAAAGGTTTGAAGTCCAAGCACTTCTCAATTGAGACTCACCACATGTCGTATGGCAGGCGCTGTCTTACCGAACAATACAGATCTAGTCTTTTGAAGGATAACAGAAAATTGAGATAAAGGAGTTTTGGGAGGCTTGGTCATGACTGTGAACCAGTTAGGGAGCCACCTGGCTTGTTGCCTTTGAGATCCAAGGCGGTGGCTGATGGCTGTTTTCTTGTCATGAGTTAGCACAGCAATCTGTTGTGTTCTGTGGTTGTGCTGGGTCCCCACACAGGGAAGATTTGCAGCTCTGCTTCCCAGTGGAGAAGAAAGAGTGAGAGGTGCTGTGGTTGAAGGAAGTTTAGGAGTTAAGGCAGAGGGAAAGGACCTGATCCAAATGAGGTGTGGGCATGGGAAGCCTGTGTTGGGGGCCACAAATTCACAATGGCTAATTTTGCATGCTTCCTTAAGGGATAAAATGGTGGCTTGGGATTATCAGTAACACCCATTTGAGACATTAACTCTCTAGGGATGGGCCATCCTCTCTCATTTTCTAAGACTAAAACTAATGTCACTGAGTCTAAACACTCTAGGGCAAGACCTTTCTTAGCATAAAATCGTCTCCGCCCTCTTGAGTCATCCCGAGATTATACTTGCCAGCCATGCCATAGACCTCTGAGTCTTCTGCCAATTTTGAATCTTCTGCGAGCTGTTTCTGTTGCTGTATACACCCAATAAATAGTGGCTGTCTTGGAATGTTGCTCTCCCATCTGGAGACTGACTTCCCAGTCACTCATCATGCACTACTAAATTTGTCTCTGTTACTTATTTTATCTTCTCACTATACCCTTAACAAAAGGCAGCTGGGGCTCTTGGCCATGTCCCCAATAAGCAGGGGTATGCTCAGAGGAGAACATGTCTGAAACTGAGACTTGAAGGATGGATAAGTGTTAGCAAGGAAGGGAGGCAGAGACAGGGAGGGCACTGTGGAGAGGAGGAGGACATCAGGGAAGAGCCTGGCATGTGATATGTGTGGCAGCACAGACGGTTTAGGGTTGCCAGAGTACAGTGTGAGATGAGAGGAGAAGCTGGCCTGGTGCAAGGGGATAGCCAGGGGCAGAGCTAATCCTACTTAGCCAGTTGGGTGGCACAGCACAGAGCAGGAAGCGTATGAACATATTTTCAGTTTGGTGCCATCTCTGGCTGTGTTCAGAGAGTGGATTGCAGGAGAGAGAGAATAGGAGCAGAGAGGCCGGAAGCCCATGGGAGAGCCAGGGAAACTTAATGAGGGCAGCGATGTGGCAAGTGGAATGGAGGGAGGGGTATATTCAAGGAATAACACTGCAAATGATTAGAAATTTGGAAATACAGTTGGGAAAAGTGATGGGTAAATGTAGTCCCTTAGAGAAGGAATGGTCAAGAGTGACTCTAGGTGCGTGGCTTGCGTGACTGCCACCCATTCAGTTCAGAGCATGGAAAATGAAGTTTGTGTGCAGGAGAGAGGCAGAGGTGTGGACGATGAATCTGTTGCACAAGTGTTGACTTTACGAGCCTGCGGACTCTCCAAGGAGTTAGCTGTCCAGGAAGCAGGGGTTGTGCTAGGGTTTGGAGAGAACTCAGCTTGGTCACTTCTCCATGTGCGGGAGTTGAAGTTCTGAGAGCTGAATCTGAGGAGAGCATAGAATGGGAAGGGAGGAGGCTGATGATGGGACTGCAACACTCTAAGAATTTCAGGCTGCAGTGCACACACAGACAGGAAAGAAGGGAGTGGACACAGAAGTAGGAAACTAAGCAGGAAACTGGTACAGAAGAAGAGAAGGGAGTGTAAGAGTTTGAGCAACCACCAGTGTGGCTCCTAATCATAGAAGTTATAATTCACATCCTATATGGGGAGGTCAGGGCCTTGCTGAAGGTGTCCTAATGTTATCGGTGGGGTAGTTCTGGGTGCTGTCTAGGCTCAGAGTGTGGGCATGGTAGTTCACCACTGGCCGTAGGGTTTGAGAAAGAGCATTAGAAGATTGGATGTGTCATCTACGGGCTCAGTAATATTATTGTAACATTTAGTGTGAGCCAGACATTGTTTTAGCACCAATATACATCACCTTGCTTAATGGTTATAAGCCCACAGTGGGACAAGTGGTGGTATCCTCATCTTATGGTGGTATAAGTCCATTTTTCTTTCTTTTTTTTTTTTTTGACACCAGGGATCAAACTCATGACCTTGTGCTTGCCAGGCAGGTGCTTGTGCTGCTGAGCTAAACCCCTGGCCCAATTTTTTATTACTGTAATTAAATGCCAGAGGCAGGATAACTTTATAAAGAAAAGAGACTTATGTAGCTTATAGTTGCTGGGAGGCTACAAATCTGGGATTGAGTAGCTGCATGCATTCAGCATCTGGTGAGAGCATGATGGCAAATGGTTAGGTGTGTTTCACAGGGAGAGAGCACATCACCAAACAGAAAGTCAGAGACGGGGTTCCTAGAGTCCCTCCCATGCACCTGTCCCCAGTTGACCTGAGGACTTTTTACTAGGCTTCATCTCTTAAAGGTCCTACCTCCCAACATTATCACACTGAGGACCAAGTTTACAACAAATGAACTTTAGGGGTGATCAAACCATATCCAAACTGTAGCACTGGTTGAGGAAATTGAGTCTCCGAGAGGTTAAGTCACCCAGTTAGTAAGTGGCCAAACTAGAAATTTCACTGTGGTCTTTTCTAATACAAAGGCATCTAACTGAGCAGGAAAAGCATCTGGGGTAGGCAGAGAGAGGACAGCATAGCTGTAAATGTGGCTGCTATTCTTCATTTTCCTCAGGTTCAGGAACTTAACTCTGAGATCGAGGAGCTCAGCACCGCCCTGGCTAAAGCCAGAGAGGCCCCGCAGAAAACACAGACTCCAAGAGTCCATGTGAGTGTTTCCTTTGGGTTGTCTTCTTTGTCTGTGTCCGCCTCTTATATTTTACCGTAAAGACTCCTGCTGGTCATCCCCTTGGTCTTTCCTTTCTCTTCCTAATTTTAGTTTTGTGCTTTTGATTATTTTAACATTTTATTCCCATGTTTCTAGTTTTTCTGCATGGTTTATGGCTAATACTAATAATTTCATAAATCAATAAAGTTCCATCATCCCAGTAAGTTCATACAGCCTGGAGCTCTCCTCCCACCTCCTGCACCGATATTGCTTTTGGTTGTAAAGAGCAGTTAGAAATTAAATCTAATTTAAGACTGTTTGATCCTAAGATTCATATCCCAAGCCTTATCTTTTGCAGAACTTTGGTTCACACTAAGAATAATTGAAGTAATTCGGTTTGAATCATGGTATGCTAGGAGCACAGAGAAACCTGTTTTGGGGATCTCAGACTTGCCCTTTCCCACTGTTTTGACGTTGGCTGATGAAATGGAGCTGAGATTACATTATACACTGGGGTTTTTTCTTTTTCCTTGCTTAGGAAGTAATCAGGTTTTAAAAGCTGAATTCTTAGCAAAACTGTATTTTTCATTTCTTAAGAAAAGAATATGTATGTTGGTAATTGATAGCCAGAGACCAGACATCCTTGGAAGCACTGTGATTTTTTTACTTATTATGTTGGGCCTTGAAGGAAAGAAAGGAGCCTTATAAATTTAAATTTTACTCAGATTTATTACATACATACATACATTTATTAATAATTTAATTTAGTCCCAGCAAAAGACTTTAAAGGATGATATTTGAGGTCTTGTCATACACAGTGCTGGCAGGGCTTCTTGTTTTGCAGCCCACAGAGACTGGGAATTGTTGTACCAAACTCCTCAGGTCGTGCTGTTCACAGAACGTGTGTTGAGTCCTTACCCAGCTGAGTTTGTGAGCTTTAGACAGTTTGCATCAGGACTCTAATTCAAGTCTGTCTCCATTGTCTGTGGTTCTTCTGTCGATCAGATTATGTGAGTAAAGGTACATGGTACATCTATACTGGCTGCTTCATTTGAGGTGTATGTTCTGTAACTGTTTCTTTACCATATTTTTGCCATAGCAGTATAGATGGTTCTGCTCAGTCTTCCTCATTTTTATTATGAGATAATTGTTGATTCACCTGTCATAGATTTCTTTCTGTATAGTCTTTACTCAGTTCTTCAACATCTCCCAAGTCACACAACTAAAACTGGTCTTGAAGTAATTCTATATTAAACTCATCATGTTCCTAAACAGTGAGAAAGAGTGATTTGTTTAATATTGTATTTGGCCTTCGGTTTCTTATCAAATCTAATTGGCTAAATATTTGCCATTGGGATATCATTAAGAAAAAGGTAAAAAGTCTCCCGGGAAATTTTTTCAAAGTCCATTTAAAAGAGTTAATATTGACAGTTTTTTATATTAATAAAATCAATGGAATTTGTGCATCTCAATTTTTTGAGCTGAATTTTTCTTTCTTTTTTTTTTTAAAAGAAGGTTAGCCCAGACTGTCCTTGCACTCCTGATCCTCCTTTTAGGCATATTCCACTACACCCAGCTGAGCTGGGATTTTAAAAAGAGGCTTTCTCTTTTTGTTTATGTGATAATTCTAAAGAACTTTCCTCACTTGACCATAACTGCTAATGATAATGTATAACAAGCTCCTTACTAATGTTCCTGTCTCTAGTTCTTTCCTCTCTCATTTAGTCTTGTTTTTATTTTTTCCAGTTTATTGGTGTGAACTGAGATTACTGCTTGTAAGGGCAGTGGGAGGAATGCAGCCTCTTTTGTTTGAATCTCAGGTTTTTCACCTGTGGTCCATGACAACATGTGCATTGGGTAGTTTTGAAGCCTCAATTGCTTAAATGGGCAAAATCAAGTGTATTCTTACAGTTGATGTGAGAAATAAGAGGTATCAGGTGTGGAAATGTGCTTATGTTTGGTTTAGCTCCTTTTATAAAATCAGTGATTAATACAAGGTAGCTGCAGCTGGGCGTTGTATGCACCTGTAATCCCAGCATTTGTGAGGCTGAGGTACTTGAGGATCTTTATAAGTGCAAGACCAGCCTGGGCTGCAAAGTGAGCTCAAGGCCAGCCTGAACTGCATAGCAAGATCCTGTCACAAAAAAAAGTTGTAAATATTGTTCAAGATGAGAATTTTCCAATTGTTGTTTACCTTTTTTTGCTGGGTTTATTTAAGCATTGTCATAGACATCCAAAAATGACCTTGGCTTCCTATTTCTTTTTATTTATTATGATTTCAAAGGAAATTATAAAAGTTTTCATAAACTTACATTGAAATTTGAATGAGGTTCATTCTCATTTCATATTTCTGGATCCAAAAGAGCAGTTAAGAGGGTCAGGCAGCTAGATGTCTGGTTTAGGTGGTCCAAAATAGCAGAGCTCCTTACTTCCCCAGGTAACTGGTTATAGTCTACTTCTGAACATCTGGGTTGGCAATCTGAACAGCTACACTTCACTAGTGATGGGGGTTGAAATGGATTTTCTAGGAAGGCCAAGAATTTTGTAGTAAGTCCTTGCTTCCTATCTGAGCTGTGACACGTGACAATTCAGATATCAGTTGTTTTTGAATTCTTGATCTTATACCTCTAACTGAAAAAAATCAATTTATAAAAAGTGTGTTTTACTCTGCTTCAGCAGTTTTTCCAGAAGTTAAAAATAAGAAGAAGAAAAGGCAAATTTAGACAAATATCAACATTTTGATGTTTTTCCTTCTGCATTTTCTTCTTAGACATAGATTTTTTAAAAGATCTTATACATCTTGGTCTTTTTTCATATAACATAATGTAGATTACTGCATCACATGTTACTGACTTTTTGTAAATACAGTTCATTTTGTGTCTTCTTTATATAGTTTTGTATGATTACATATTTAGGTTGTTTGTTATTGTTTACTACCATAGTGGTTCCCACACTACTAACATCACATTTTGTGCGTTTTCCTTCTTGAATTACTTTTTTTACACAAGTAGGTTTCCCTGTTTCATATCAGTGTTACACCATAAACATTATTCTGTGTTACTCAGAAACCGTCACATTGTTTGTGCTTTTTATCTTCAATATCATCTATGTTAATCTTCTTCTTTTCCTTTTCCTCCCCAAACTGAAAAGGGAGCACAGATTTTGTGGTTTAATGAGGTATGAAACTCAGCTCTTCTCCTTGCTCCCTTCTCTGCTAGGGGTCTGAAGACTATGAGGCTGCTCTGACAGAGAAGGAAGCCCTTCTGGCTGAGCTGCACTCAGAAAACCTCACCAAGAGTTCCGAGAACCACAGACTGCAGAGGAACATTAAGAAGGTCACCCAGGAGCTGAGCGATCTGCAGCAGGAGAAGGAGAGGCTGGAGAGGGACCTGGAGAAAGCCCACCGGGAGGGGAGCAGAGGAGCCCGCACCATTCATGTGAGCGTTGTCCGGCCCTTCTGATGTGGTGGCGTGGCTGTTTCTGTTGTAGGGAGATAAGCTAGTCAGTGCAGAAAATGGAAAAGTATGAAGACACTGCAGGCATCAGCTCTTTGCCTAGAAATGACTAGGTTCAACTATTCGATGTTGTAGTTGCTTAGTCTGCCTCAGTATCAGGTTGAAAATAGAGTCTTGCATCCTATTTTTTTATTTAAAAATTTATTGTATTTTTGGAACTGGGGACTTAAACTTAGGACCTTGCACTTGCCAGGCATGTGCTTTGCTGCTGAGCTATGTCCCTGGCCCTGCATCTTTTTTTTTTTCAGTTCAGTATTCATTGTTTGATGTGTTGCTGTGTCTCTTTTTTTTGGTCTTTTTCCTTTTTATCAGTACCAGGGATCGAACTCAGGACTGCTTGCTTGCAAGGCAGGCGCTTATGTTGCTGTGTCTCTTAAGTGTTCTTCGGAAATATGATTTTTTTTTGTGTATGTATCTGCACAATATTTCATCACTTGGCTACAATTTGACTAGTTAGTCCCTTATTGTAGAACATTTGGGTTATTTCACATTCTGTTTTGCCCGGTAACAAATACTGCCGCATACATTCTTCTACATAAATATTTATGCACTGATTATTTCTGATAGAAGTATAATTAACTAGGTCAAAGAGTGGATATATCTTTTAAAATATTTTGTAGATACACTTCCATTATTCTGGAACAAAGATTGTACCAGATTACTCTCTGCAATCTTTTTTTTTTTTTAAAGACTGTATGCTATTCAGCATTGAGTATTAGCATTTAAAAATTCTCTCTAAATTTGGTAGGCTTATTAAAATTCAGTTATATTAAAACTTAAGTATTCAGCATCTTTTAATTTAATCCATCCTAAGAGTCACATCTAGGTACATGGTTTTGGTGCAGTTAGGTTGGGTAGAATCTAAATGATTACTAACACACAGGTTAATTGAATTACCTGGGGCAGGCAGTCCATAGTAGAGAGCTCAAAAGAGGAGCCCTCGGTGTGGTGCTGTGGTTGGTTCACTGAAGACTGCTGTTGGCAAGGACGCCAGCATCTATGGGTTGAAATCACACTGTGAATACTGCAGGAGAGAATTGAAGCACAAATGTTTGTGCATTTTAATAGCATTTCAAACGTTAAGAGACCAATATTAGACATTCAGAAAAATAAACTGTCAGGTAAAGGTAGACCACCCTAGTGAAACAAATGTTTTGGTTTTCAGTATGACCTTCCAGGTGCACTAGACTGTCTGCCTAATTAGGCTAAGTACTGTTCTGTGACACATTTTTGAATAGTGTAGTCTTTCACTGATAGCTTTTACATGATTATGTAATACTTTCCTCCTTTGTTGGTGTTATGGCTGTGTCTAGATGTCGCCCAAAGCTCGTGCATTCATAGGTGAGTGTTTTTCAGAGGCGGCTCCATCTAGTGTGATGATGGGATTAAGGTTGTGTGATTACTAAATCACTCTGCTGACTGAATTGGCACTGCCCTAATCCTGGTAGCCTAGATACAATATAAAAGGGGCAGAAAGATGCTGTTAAGGTCCCTCTCTTGCTGCTTTGCTACCTGTGCTCACAATGAACTGTTTCTTCTCTGTGATGCTGCCTGCCATGGCACCCTGCCTTGGAGTCAGCCAGTTACGGACTGAGGTCTCTACAAACTGTGAGCTAAATAAACCTTCCTACCTTTAACTTTGGGTGTCAGGTATTTTGTCTCAACAACAAGAAAAGGAAAATAGTTGGTTAAAGAATTTGACTGCTTAAATAATGCCACAGTGAACATCTTTATGCATAAAGATGTTTTCTCTTAAAATTCCTACGAGAGACTCAGGATGAAATTACTGGGTAGCATAGGGCAAATATTTTATATTGGTTAATTATGCTGCCAGATTATCAGTACAAAGGATTGCCACCAGCAGTATTGAATTATACTATTTTATTGCAGCCTATTAGAAGACTTTCTCATATTAATACAAAATTACTGATCACCAGATGTGTCTACTTTATGTGCCGATGAAAATGTGAGACAGTTTCTGAAGGTTTCATTGTTCTAAAGGAGATGGAATATTACACATGACAAAATATAAAATGTTTTGTATTAGTCAGCTTTCTTGTCACTGAAACCCAGTACCTGAGACCTATAACTTAAAGGAGCAGAGGTTTCGTTTGACTCATGATTTGAGGGGATTCAGTCCATGGTTGGCTGGCTTCAAGGCAGAGCAGAGATGCTCAGTGCATGGTGGACAGGAAGCAGAAGAGGGGAATAGTGCTGCAGAGGAACCAGTCATAGACCCAAAGGCCGTGCCTCTGTGGCCCATCCAGACACGCTCAGAGGGTGCTCCAGCAGTCTCTCCTGCGTGGGTCCTGAGGCCAGTCAAGTTAATAGTTTACCCTAACTACCATATATTTCCAACATCTAAAGCTAATTGTTATTGTGTGAAAAAGATCCTTATATCAGGGAACCCTTCCTGCAGGAGGCAGCATTTGAGTAGAATGAGGAGAGCAGAGTAGTGTGCCTTTATAGATGAGGTGATAAAAAGCCGGCCAGAGGGTCCTTTGAGAGAGTTGGCATGTTTGTGGTCCATTCTTATACCCTTCACTGCTGGATAACAACTTTTTTTTTTTTAGTTTAAAGTATATTCTTCCCTTACTGCCATCATAAAAATGTTCATATGGTAAAATTTGGATGGCAGGGGATGAAGCATATAATTATATATTCATATACAATATGCAGTTCTTTTTACCTTATAACTTACTCTTCATAAGCATTGGAAATCTCTGGAAATCACATCAAATAGATACACTGTGTTTTACTTATGTATCCCTCTGTTGTCAGGCAGTGTTTGTTGGTTTCATAATTCATGTAATCATATAAACCGTGGCACTTCTTTAAAGAATTTTGGGCTGCTGCTGCTAGAAACACGTAATACACCCACATAATACACCCTGCATAATACACCCACACTTCATAAGGAGGTTAAGATACTTGGCAAGGAATGAAGAGGACTATGACAGTGAGAGGGAGGGATTGGCAATGTATTCTGTGGGTGGGACTTTGTTTTGAATAGCAGAAACGCAGCCTGAACTAATTTTGGCAAAAGGGAACGTTATTGCTGTGTGTCACTGGAAGGACTGATTCCATCTCCCTGAGAGCTGGCTGCCTTTTTTTACACCCACTAACTTCCGTTCCAAGTGGCTGTACCCCTCATTGCTAGCTCTGCTGGGATCACATCTTCCCAGTTTGTTGCAGAAGAGAATGGTGGACTCCCACTCTGCTGCCCCTCCTGTCATCCTGTCAGGATGGCCAGACAGGAGAGGTCCTGGGAGCCTTCCTGCTTTGGCAGGGTTGGATGTGCTTGCACACGTGCACTATTCTTGGCAGTCTTCTTGAGAGCCTTGTGTTTGGAGGAGTATGAGCAGGTGCCCAGGGAAGCAGTGTTTTGTTGCAGGGCCCAAGACACAACTGTGTGGTCTAAATGCTCACCTCAGGGAAGCATGCCTGGGACTCAGCTTCTGGGTACCTCATCAGGTCTGCCTTATACTTTAAGTCACATACTTGTTTCTGAAAGATAACTTGGGTGGTTTCCTACTTTTCACATGTATATTGCAACCCTATGGTATCTCAACTTCTGGTTATAAGTCTAAGAATTTGGCTGTGTCTGTCTCGTGAGAATGTTTTACACCAGATTGTGGGAGCACAGATTCTGGGGAGACATGCTGGGGTGGTGTTTTTGCTACATGGTGATGGGATGAATGCACAGGTGGAACCTTGCATATCTTACCGGCTCTTTAACCAGAGTGCCTCCTACGCACCAGCTACTATTGCTGTTACTTTTGGATTGCAGCAAACCAACAAACCCCGTTCCTTCTCGTGGCCTGTCTTGTCCTGGCAAAGAAAAGGAATTCACACATTCAGCAACATTGAACACTTCATGCAGGCCTTCTGCTAGATTTGGGCACAATTCCATGACAGACAGGGACACATTGCCATGGGAGTGCAAGGAAAGGAGGTGGCTTGTGGGACATAGAAAGCTCCTGAGGACGGTGACTTTGGCACTGGTTCTGAAGTCTAAGTTGAAGGTTAACAGATAAGTGGGTCTTCGGTCTGGGGCACAGGCTTAGAAGAGACAGTGTGGTGTGTTTGAAGAGCTTGATGCTGTGATGAAAGGCAGTAGCCTCTATGGATGTGGCAGGTTTACCTGGGGGAAGAATTGGTTTTTGGAAAGTCTGGGATGCAGAGTTTGGGAACCTGGACTTGACATGTAGGCCATCAGGCCTCTGTAGAGTAAAAAGTAAGGAGAAATGGACAGGCTCGGATTTGCAGTTTAGAAAGACTAGTCCGCAGGATGTCAGGAGGAAGGATTGGTGAGCGCTGGCTGGAGATGCGAAGATAAGCAAAGGCCTTTGTTTGACACGTGAGCCTGGTTCTGAGGTGAGGGCAGAGAGAAGAACCTGTTCCTCAGTAGCAGGGATGCCCAGGGATGGCTCCTAGGTGTCTATTAAAGCGTCACCCACAAGGACTCACTGATGGTCAGTTTTGGGTCTCTTATGTTGTTTGAACTTCACTGCATCCTACGGGTAGGATAAATAAAACATTGATAAGAAAAATATCCGAAGCACGGGTTTTGTTCTGAATCCACATTCATCTTGGTGCTCAACACCCTTTTTCCTGAGCAGTGAAGACTGGTCTTCAGAGAGATAGAAATAGAACAGGTAGGTGACGCCTTACAGTTTATAAAGAGACTGCTCATTTTTCACATGTGTCCCATAGCCCTGTGTTTGGTCACATAGACTATTATTCCCATTTTACAAATTAATCTGAGTCTCCCAATCTAAATGGCTTGATCATGTAATGTGATAGTCCTAAGAAACGAATGTTTTATGTATGTATATGTAGCATATATGTAGCATTGTGGATTCTAATTTCAGGACTTTGTCTAAGATACTGTGTTGTGGCTATGGCAAACCATCAGTAGT